TTTATGGAAGTATGTGGGATACCAGGCTGAGGATCATTTTGTTTTGGAAACCTCAAGAGTCAAATATAGTTTAAGGATCAAGCAACTGTTTTTATGCCAGGTACCTCCTTGATTTTGATGAGGAGCTGTGTTGCTTCTCTTAGGAGAAACTGGGGTGAGTCACTTAATATTTCAGAGCCCAGATTCTTGATATGTAAATGGAAATCATCAATTTATAGGGTTGTAAGTATCAAATAATGTAAATATAATGCTTAGCACAGGGCTTGACACAAAGTAAGTGCTTAACAAATGGTAGGTACTGCTAATAACTTTTATAATTTCACAGCTTAATGTAATATGATTGTCATTTAAGAAACTTCCCATATTAAAGCATACAGTTTGATGAGTTAATGGTAACTATTCTAACTGTGGGATCTTCCACTTTCTGTGTGACCCTGGGCTCTGAGCCTTGGTCTTCTCTGTTAAGTGGGAGACAAGCATTAATCCTGACTTACAGAGTTGAATTACATGACGCAGTGAATCTGAAAGGGCTCTGATGTGATAGCAGCAGGGCCCCTCCCACCTCTCCTTTATCTCTCCTACTTGTCCTTTGCTCCAATTCTCTCCTAGGACTTACCTGTGGGATTTGGGGATTCGCATGGGCCCCAGGTCGTAGTACCAGCCCTCCTCCTTGTTCCTGAATGTGACCACTCGGCCCCCAACATGATCACTGGCCTCCAGGATGGTTACCTGGGAATCCAGAGAAACTTCTGTCATTCTCAGATACGTGTCTCCCTTCTCCCCACCCCCTACTCCCACTTCTACAATGCCACACGCTCTGGCCTGGAATCCCCATCATCAGTCTTCAAAAGTGCATGGCAACCTCACTGGGCATTTCTTCCAGAACGGTCCTGAGAGATGTGAAACTGAAGAGCTTCTGGTGAGCAGGGACAGGGCACTTCTTGGCCTTTGCGTGTCAGCATAGCTCTTGGCTTTTGTTTCCACAGGAATGCAAATGAAAGTTAGCGATGATTAAATGTTAAGGGTTCCAGGGGCCCAGCAGGTTACGTGCCATTGCTCAAGACCTCCTCACCTGATGGCCAGCATCCTGCAGGGTCTTGGCTGCTGTCAGGCCTGACATGCCAGCTCCCACTACTACTATGCGCTTGGGCAGGGGAGAGGTGCGGAGTCCCTCCTGAGCTGTGACAAGGAAGGACTCATAATTCGGGTCCTGGAAGCACTTGGCCAAGTCCTCATAGTAGGCAAGGCAGCTGGAGGTAGCCAGCAGGAGTGCCAACACCAGAATACCTGGGGGAAGAGAGAGCAATCAATGCATGTGACCTTGCTGGGGCCCAGGCTCTGTGGGTCCTGCCTGCCTTGCCCAGGAGGAGCCTGGCTGCATGAGTGAATGCAGAGTGGTCAGGGCAGGGCAGTGTCTGGTGGGTGTGTGGCCACAGATAAGTGATTTGTGGCTGTCTCTATGTAGGGATGGTGTATGTGTGAACTTCAGTGGTGTTAGTTGTAAAGTTAATGTGTAATTGTGAATGTACTCCTTCTACTAGCTCTAGGTTTTTTTTTTTTGGGGGGGGAGGCAGGTGAGAACCCCCTTAGTCTAATCTTTGTACTGATGGGTAACCAAAGTTCCCAGAAGGAAGGGGATCTTCAGGGGCCACTCTCTAAAGAAGGGTAGGAGACCCAGCTGGCTTTCAGCAAAGACCCTTCTCCATGAAGAGAACATTCCACTGGGACAACTCAGAAAAGAGGGGACAGATGACCAAGCCCAGAGGAAATAATCTCCAAGCTCCCTCCTCTCTTTCTATCCCCCAGACCTACTCAACCTCCCTAGTCCATTCTCCACCCCTGACAGGTTTCCCCATCTCCCCGAGGTATTGCCATTTCTGTCTCAGTCCCCATGTCCTTCCCTTAAATGAACCCAACCCCCAAACTCATTCTCCAGATCCATTTTCATTCAATTGATTCATTTTCAACACCTCGACCCAGCCCCAGCCCCCAGCTGAGCTCCTATTCCTGTCTCGGTCCCTAATCTCCTTGCTGCTTCACGCCCTGTACTCAAACTTCTCCTCAGACCCTCATCAAAGCTCCTGGACCCCTCCCCTGATCCAGTCCCTCTCCCCATCTCAGAGTCCAGCACCCCTTCCTCAGGCCTTTCTCTCTGTGACCCAGAGGAGGGGCCCCACTCACCACTCATGGTGGCCATGGCCCTGCAGCTCGGCTGAATCCTGAGCAGTTCTCTCTCTCCTTATGAGGAACCAGCTCCACTCCAGCAGTAATTGGCCCTTGTCCCACCAGCATGTCCTTGTCCCTATTGGCTGTGCCAAGCAGGGAAGTCCTGCCCCGAAGCCTGGCCTGTCAGGTAAGATGACCATGGTGACGGAGCCCAGCCTCAGCCTCATCTTCTGCATTCCTGCATTCCTCCTGACCAGCCTCTCTCCTAGGGAAAGCTCCTTCTCTCAGCTCAGACCCTTACTCCTGGTGCCAGTGGGGAAGAGAGAGGCCATGAGTATGTTGTGCTGTGATCACCTCCCACTAAGGGGTGAAGGCTGGGCTAGGCATCCAGCGTCTGGGCTCCCAGTGGAGAACATCCCTCTTCCCACCGCCGTTCCACTGTGGTGCCTTCTGCTCTGCTGTGGGTTTGTTCAGGGTGGGGATTCTGGCCAGGAGCTCCTGTGGAAGGACCATGATCTCCTTGCCCCTCTCAGGGGCTCCCTGGCAGGTAGGACAGAGATCTCTGTTCTGGCCCATTTGTACTGGAGAGTGGGTTTTGCCCCTTCTTTTGGGTTGTCCGGGTCTTCCTTAAGCACAGGTGAGCTTCTCTGGCACTGAAACTTCTCCCCCTAAGGAATAGGGCCAGCTGATTATGGTGCCAAGTCTACCTTTTGTTCTCTGTGCATAGTGCAGGTGGTAGCAGGTTGGCCGGCAAAAGAAGATGGCAGAAAGCATACACCAAGTCAGCTGCATGGGACTGGGCAGAGACCAGGACGGGGAGTAGGTAGGGGCACTCAGGAGCAAGGGCCCAGGACTTGGATCCTGGTATCAGGAGGAGCACAGAGGAAAGGACACTAGCTAGAATTCAACAGGACTGGATTCAGATCCTGCTGTGTCCTGTTGTAGCTGTGGGCTTTGGGACAAAGCATTTATGTCCATACCTCCCTGAGCCTGGGTTTCTTATGTGTAATATGGGGCCAGTAATAGCTTTTTCCTAGGGTATTCTAGGATGACCTGAGATGACGTGCCTGAAGAGTCTAACACAGCACTTTGCTCTTGGTAGTTACCTAAGCTGGTTCCCTTCTTTCTTGTTTGGGTTGAGACCAGGCTGCATGAAGCCATCATATCTTTGAAATGGAGGTGATATCTCCACCACAGGGCTTCTGGGAGGATGCAGTGGGATAACACATGAGACCTACTGTGTGAACTACAGGGCTTTGGACAGAGGTTGGGTTCTTTCTCCCTGTTTCTCTTTTGCTGCTTCCTTTTACCTTTTTTTTTTTTTTTCTTTTTAAGACAGGGTCTCACTAAGTTGCTGAGGCTGGCCTTGAACTTGTGAACCTCCTGCCTCAGGCTCCCAAGTTCCTGGAATTATAGGTGTGTGTCACTGTGCCCAACTTCCTTTTACTTTTGTAATGGATTTATTGAGATACAATTAACTCACCCATTTAAAGGGCAAAACTCAACCTTTTTAGTGTATTTACAGAGTTGTGCAATCATTATCACAGTCAATTTTAGAATATTTTCATCATGCCAAAAAGAAATATGAGAGCCAGGTGGTATGGTGGTGCATGCCTATAATCCTGGCAACATGGGAGGCTGAGGCTAGAGGATTGCAAGTTCAAGGTCAGCCTCAGCAACTTAGTGAGGCTCTGTACAACTTAGCAAGCCCTTATCTCAAAATAAAAAATAAAAGGGGCTAGGGATATGGCTCAGTAGTTAAGCACCCTTGAGTCCAGTCCCTGGCACCAAAAATAACACAAACACAAACAAAACAAAAAGAAATTCTTCCCAACCCACCCAGCCCTAGGTTATGGCTAATCTACTTTCTGTCTTTATGGATCTCCCTATTCTGAAATTTTCATGTAAATGAAATAGTAAAATGTGATATTTTGTAAATGGCTCTATGCACTTAGCACAATGTCTTTGAGGTTCATTGCTATCATAGCATGTGCCAGCATGCATTTCTCTTTAATGCTAAATAATATCCTATTTTATGGATATAGCACATTTTGTTTATTCATTAGTTAGTTGATGGTAATTTTTCTTTTTCCTATTTTTTTTATTATTATGGACAATGCTGATCTGAACACTCCCATAAAAGATTTCATGTGGACAAAGGCTTTCATTTCTCTTGGGTATATAGTTAGGGATGGAATTGTGGGGTTATATAACTCCATATTTAACCTTTTGAAGAACTGGGATTGAAAGTGTCTGCACCATCTTGCATCCCCACAGCAATGAATGAGAGTTTCAATTTCTCTCCATCTCCACCAGCAGTTACTATTATCTGTTGTTTCTATTACACTCATCCTTTTTTTTTAATTAGTTGTTCAAAACATTACATAGCTCTTGACATATCATATTTCATACATTTGATTCAAGTGGGTTATGAACTCCTTGTGAGTGTGAAAACATACCTTACTGTGGTTTTGATTTGCATTTCACTGATGGATGTTGTTGTTAAAGATCTTTTTATGTTTTTATTGGCCATTTCTATTTTTTCTTTGGAGAAATGTCTATTCAGATCCTTTGTCAAGTTTTTCACCTGCTGATTTCTCTCTTAATTATTGAGTTGGAAGAGTACTTCATGTTATAGATACAAGTTCTTTATCAGATTTATGTTTTGCAAATATTGTCTCTTATGAGTTGTATTTTTATATTTTTTGTTGTTTTGGTACTGGGGATTGAACTCAGGAGTGCTTAACCACGGAGCCACATCACCAACCCTTTTTATATTTTATTTTGAAACAAGG